ATATATAGATATATATATGGCAAGCATACACACACAGGTGTACACACACGACAAACATACACAAAGGTGAACACACATGACAAGCATGCACACAGGTGAACACACATGACAAACATGCACATATACAATTTAAAGCAATTATTTGCTAAAAGGTAGAGGCTAGGGGCTAAAAGAATGCAATAAAGTATCACTAAAAAAATCAAAAGGAAGAGGGGATCAAACTTAAGTGGACAACAATAATAATTCAAAAAATTTTTAAATGTAATCCAATCGGTGGACCAGGGACAGCTTCCCCAAAACACCTGGAATCAGGCCAGTTCCCTGCACCCCTGCTTGTTCCTTCAGCTAAGTTTCCTTGAGTTTCTTTCAGGAGGAAACTGCTGGCTGCAGAGGATGGTTTGCATTGGATGTGGGGGGGGGGGGCACAGGAGCTAGGAAGTGTCTCGGAGGGAGGGGCTCCTGTTGCAAGTGTTGAGGGGCCAAGACAATGCAGGGTTCTACTAGCCTGCATCTTTCGTGCACATCAGCTTCTGAAAACAATTTTTCACGCTATAGAATATGCAGAGCGTACCTGGTGCCATTTGAGGAAATATTTGTGACAACATCACTTCTGCTCTTTGTCCTGCTCATCCCAGCTCAGCTTCCACTCTTAGTGAGGACCCTGTACTCTCCACAGAGAGCATTGTTGCCCTGCCCATTTTAAGGCCTTCAATGTTGAGGATCACAAGATTCAGTGGTCAGGCTGGAGAGTCCAGCTCCCACCATGCCCCCAAGCACTTCCTGTGTCTTACAGCAATGCACACAGTCCTCCACAGACCACTACTTTTTTTTGCAAGTGCAGTAACTCAAGCTCAGAAAGACAAAGAACCTGTGGGAGTGATAGGGAGAGCAAACAGAGGTCACAGGACCACATCCTGTATCTACCCAAAGTCAGGGCTTTCTGGACTATGTAGCAAGATTAATAAAAACTCAGAGACAGAAATTGGGGTTCAACCTGAAGGTCAGAAAAGTAAAACAGCCAGTCATTGGTTCTACCTCTACCTCAGTCTGAAATGGTGATCCAGGAATCTCAGAATGAGACTGTGTCTGAGAGCTGTCTCCTCCCATTTTATGATCTTTTCTAGGGCTGGGATTAAAGGCGTGCACAGCCCAGGTTCTATGGCAAAGTAGTGTGGCTCTTGGGATTAAAGATGTGTGTTACTACTGCCTGGTCTGTATGGCTGATCAGTAGGGCTCTTTTACTCTCTGATCTTCAGGCAGGCTTTATTTATTAAAATACAAATGAAATACCACGACAGGACTAGGTCATCCCACCTCTTGCTTATGCTCTCTCTTGCCATTCTTACGTTCTGAGCCATGGATTTGTGATAGCTCTCAACCTCCTCGAGGTTCGTTGAGTGGGACCTCCATGGCTTTCATGCTGGCCTCATCTCTTCACTCCGGCTCTAGCATCACAGACCTCCACATCCGATAGCCACTGTCTCAAATCTTCCCCCAGTACACGATGGATCCTGAATCCCAAGATGCACACGTTAGAACTCAGGAGTCAAATCTCAGAGCTCCCCCGATGGATCTTTATGTTCATAAGAATCAAGAAAGATGAGGACAAGCCCTCAATGTTAACTACAAGTCCATTCGTGAATACATTGATGCACTGACCTATTTTGATAATAGCCTCACTTTCTCCATCCTGTCATAGGTGACAATTGGTCATTCAATCCTTTTGACTCATGTTGCCAAAATAATGACTAACCAATCTATTCACTTATGATTCTCTTGCTGGATGCCCAGATGCAGACTCAGTATGCATAGATGGGGTGGGATTATCTGCTAGGCAGAGTTGTTGCTTGGTTAGAGGCTTGCACCGGCCTGGGGACTAAAGCCCCCTTTGTTGTCTCTCTATAAAATGCTGTTTTGTTTTGTTTGTTTTATATTTTCTTCAAATTAGAAATTCAGGGCTGTTAACAGAAAGCCAGTAGGAACTGTTGCCAGTGTCTGCAGGAGTTCTTTCTAGGAAACAGAGATGTCTTCTAGAGCTTACTGAACATCCTAACTTGGAGATTAATCATAGACTCTGGAAGTTGTACGTGTGTGGGTCTCTTTGAGACATGTTCCTGTGGCCCCCGCTACCAGAGGACCCTTGCCACCAGCAGGCCACAGATACGGAAATGGAGCCACCACCACCACCACCACCACCACCACCACCACCACCACCACCACCACTCAGAGTCATAGAAATATTGTCTTCCACTTCAAGGTGGGATGCTGTAAGGGTGGAACCTTTGTCAAAGTCCTCTGGAGATACCAGCCTGATACTGGCCACCACTCACTCATACATGGAGCAACCTTGTGAGATTTCAAGAGATCTTTTTAACTTCACTTTCCTCACAAGTCCTTATGAAGGAAGAGTTTGCTAAATTCATTGATTCCCTTTTGGCAAGCTTGCCACTCCTGGATTTGGACAGATTAAATACAGTAAAGATTTCCTATACCAACTCAAAGAACATTACCTGAAAACTCAGGAAGGGATTTTTTTTTTAACTCAAGGAAGAAACTAGAAAAGGGGAAGAAAGGGAAGAAGGAAGGAAATGGAGAAAGAGGGAAGGATACAGGATGGAAGGAATGGTGGAGAGGTGGACGAACTACATGGAAGACAAACACATTGTCAAACCAAAAGGACCAAACCAACCATCCCACTAACATATAATAATCTTTATTCTGCAACAGAGACATAAATAATTTTATGAATTCATATGACCTATACAAAAGACAAAATAAGATATTGCACTAAATTTTGTTATGGAGTATCTGGATTTAATATTAGCTGAACAGATAAATATATATATATATATATACACAAGTTAAGGAATTAAGGCAAAACCAGATGATATTTCAAACACAACAGGAGATTTGAAAAATAGATATAATTAAAAACAAGGGCGTACCATCTCCAGTTAATAACATGGTCATGTTGAAGGGGAAAATAATCCCTTATGGTCTTAATAAAGTGGTTATTATCAATCACGTTAATTAAAGCTGAGCAATAAAGTATAAGATTTTCCACCAAGGGGAGCTATTTTGCCAAGGTTTGGGGACTGAGCATTTAGAATTGGGGTAAGTAACTTTTTCTTTGTCAGATTATGATCCGTTTTTCCTATTAGAAAATATAATTTGGGAAAATATGACTCTTTCACATATATAATTAAAATACAACTATGGAGCATTCATTTTAGGGAACAAGAGGGAGGTCATGTGGGTGAGCTCAGAGTTAAGTTACATTTTGAGGCAAGCCATTTGTTTCTTACCTTACGGGTAGAGAAAACACAACGACACTCACTAAAATACAATTCCAGTTACCTTAAGAGAACAAAACAAACCAATGCCAAAGTAATTATAATTCCAAAAAAGGAAAAGAAGACAAGTGTAATCGATGTACCCACACGATATACGAGTCTTTGGCAGTTCCATAATAACCACTGAAGTCAGAACTTCCAAGGTTTCTAACTTTCAGACAAGCTTGCCGGCGTTTCAAAAACAAAGAACTGAAAACCCCAATGCAGTAACCGCAGGAAACTAAATAGAACGAACCTTGAGACAACTTCTGACCGTTAACCTGTAAGCAGATTTAGGGATTTCCGGCTTTGGAGTCCTGACTGACACATAAGGAAACTGGCACACACGTGAAGATAATCTGTGACATGTATGTTTCTCCAGACGGGTCTAGAATCCTTAAAGAGAATCCATGGTCACTCATGAGCGAAACAAAAGGGACATCGATCCAAGGGTAAAACGTGGTCTTCTGGTAACCCAGGGGTGAGCGCCCTCACGCACGGGCATCACGGAGAAGTCAAGTTCTATAGAGGGAACACCAGAAAGCCAGAAAACGTGGAATACTGCCAGCCGCCAAGTAAGTTACCTTTCTCCAGTTTTAGGTAAACCTTATCTTCTTTGTCCAGGTACAGTAGTACTCCGTTGGTGGCGGCTTCCCGGGTCACATCTTTATCTCCAGCAAAAGCAGATATGACTGGTTTCCCATTCAACATCAAGTTAACCTGAAAGAAAAGAGATGGCCAATGAAAAGCTCCCTTTAAAATCAAAACATGTGCTAGGAAATAGTCCAAGACAGCTGAGCTGTTCAAACATTTGCTTTCAGGGGAATAGCCTCCTTCCCTTCAAACTGGACAAATGAGGGTCAGTATGGATATTGTGAGTATATTTAATGTATGTGTTTGTTCCCATAGAAATCTGCTTAACTACCTATCAAAACACTGCCATCCAGAGAGCCACCTGATCATGTGAAAACCAGCTTTCCCTCGGTGTGTAAACAAAGCTAACTACTCTACTGGCCCCACATACTCAACATCAACTCTTTAGGGAATAAAGTCAGACACAGCCAGTTGCTGCCAGCGCCGGAGTAGGTGTCTCCTGTTCAGAAATTTGAGCAGCAACAGAAGTCATCTGAAACACCAGAGTTTCCAGGGAAGCAGATGTGATCTGTATATACTCTCCTTTTCCTGGGTTAAAATTAATCTGGAAAAGATTCAATCTAAGGCTGGTCAACTTATTGAGTCACTAGAATATAAAAAAGTGACAGGCGACCATGCCATCTATTAATCATAGAGACATGAAATGTAATATAGATGCTAAACATTCAATAGAACATATCTTAGAATTCCATAGACATGTATTGTAATGCTTATTATATTGTTATTATATTGTTTATTATGTATGCACTGTATTGGTTATTATATTGTTTATTATGTATGCTCTATATTGTTGATTTATTATATATTATTATTGACATATTTTAATGCTATAATATCTCTATGTCTGCTCTAGTGTAAATCTAAGCTCGTGTGGGCAAGCACCAGACAAGACACATGACTAACCACATGCAACTGCAACTAAGATGGAGGTATCAAAAATAAACCATAGCATGATGTGCTATGCACATCCTTTCTCAAAAGAATTATTAATGGCCATTCCCTGGTTGCTTGGTTTCTATGGCTAAATTGCATCTCATAATTTTTAAATGACCGTAAATTTGTTTTGCTTATTTAATGTACATTTGGAAAGTTTTATAAGATTTTTTTCCTTACAAGTTTGAATGACTTTTGTTCAGGAATGAGATAAAATCAAGATCTTCTACAGAGATTGGTGTCAAGGTTTGGCCAAGCTGTGTTTTGTTTTGGGTTTTTTGTTTGCTTGTTTGTTTGTTTTGTTTTGTTTTACATTGGGCTGTAATCGGAGTAATACCTCATTTGCTTCTTTTTCTAGGTGCCTTATCACATACTCAAATGGATAGTTATGAGGAAAACATGCAAATTAAATCTTTAAAAATACATTAGAGGGGTGGACAGCTATCTTTACTATGCAAGCATATGTCTGAATGAAGACTTAAACGCAGCAGCGGAGAGCACAGAGGTGGATGCACTTACCTGGATTGTTTGGCTCTGGTACACTTTAATCACGTGAAAAGTGAAACTGTAGATTCCTTTCCTAGGTGCCACAAAAACAGACTCCAGTGTGAAAAAATTGCCCACGTTAACCAGGATCTACAGATTAAAAACAACAAATAAAGATCAATTATTATCGACTTTGACTGAGTAAATTCCTTCTTCCTTCCCTCCCTCTTCCTTTCCCCTCTTTCTCCTCTCCCTTTTTCTCCCCCTCTTCCTCCCCTTCCTCTTCCTCCTCCCTCCCTCTTCTTTCCTTTATATCTTCCTTCTCTTCTCTCCTCCTTTTCTTCTTTTTTCAATTACTAACTTCAGAAATAATAGAGAATAAAATAGCTAATCCTATTTCTTTCCTCTTGAGAGACTTGGAAAATGGATGTGTGTAATGAAAGGTTCTTCTACCTTATAAAGAGCACAGGCAAAAATAAAAACAAAGCAACGGTGTTGTATTTATGCCTCAATTTCCAGGCCAGATGTCTCTAGGGTCATCAAAGGAACGTATAAAGGTTTGTGTTAGCTTTACACAGAGAATCAGATGGAAGGCATCTACTATGCAGTTACATCTCCACAGTCTATAAGCCTTCCCAATGTCCAGAAGTGACGTTACCCAGCCAGCCAATGGACATCCATGGGCTCTCTGCAGTCATCCCTGGACGCCTCACAGAGGCAGACCCCCTCCACCATGAAGTGCCATCCTCGACACCAACAGTTGGTGTAACAGAGATGGGAAAGCCAGGTCCTTTCCCAGCCTCTGCCAGGGCTCTCCTCAGGTCCACGGCCATTTATTTGGCTTATGCACCATCTAAGCCTTAACATAATACATTGGCAATGAGTCAGCCCTGGGCAGATGCCAAGAGAAGAGCATGGATGCGGCAGACAGTAAACTGAGTGGCCTTTCTGTGTTCTTCAGTGTCCTGTTTGATCCCATCAGTCACCTAAAATCCATTTGGTGTCCAAGGGTCAAAAGTGAAAAATGAAGTTAAGCACTGTTTCTAAGAAAGCCATAACACACCTTGTAATGCCTGGTTAAGACATTAACTCTGAATTTCAGTGAGTCCTCAGCTAAATTTCAGTGTCTCAGAGGTAAGTCCCTTCCTGAGAGATAGGAAGATAGATAAGGAGGCTTTCTTTCCTGTTTCGCCAAGGAGTAAACCCATAAAAGTCAGATGTGTCTCTAAACACATATTTTCTGTTTGCCAGAACTGCTCTGTTGATAACTGTGTTAACCATTGCCTTCTCGCCAAAATGAATACACGCACACTTCCTGCATTCTTCCTCAAAGTGCACAACTGCCTCTCCACAGCACACCAGAACGTCAGAGCGCTTAGAACGTTTAGGTAAATGCACCAGCCTCAGCTCTGCTTGAAATACGAATGTGTGTGCGATTGGACTGAGATCCAAGCCTCTTCCCGGGAAGCACCAGCTCTCTGTACTCTGACCTGAGATCAGACACCAGCTGTGTAAGATTCTCTGACAAAACATTGGCAAAAACATCTTTTCCCAGCACACTGAAAATAAAGTAAGGCACTTAGCCAATGTCCTGATTCAGATACAAAAGTCATCCTTCATTAACAAAATAGTGGCATCTGATTAGTGTCGGTTAGTAAACACAAAGCCGGATGCGGACTCCAGAGGGTAATTGAAGCATCCAGGCACATCAAGATTTATAACTGAACGTGTCTTGTTGTCTCTAAGATGCATGGCTCCCTGAGCAAAAGAAATATCCCTTTCCTCTTCTAATTGATGGGAAAGTCATTGAAAAGAATGTCCCAAAGCACTATAGCACAATGTCCACAGGGTTCCAACATTTAGATGGGGCACTAAAAGAGCAACCAGGGGTGGTGTCACGCTCCCTTCCTGTCACTTTGCTAAATACTGCACCAAAATCTCCAAAAGGACAACTTAATTTGTTTTTTTAAAAAAAATTATAGCTATCCCATACTAAACCTCTAGGGAGACATCTCTGTCCCTGACCAGCTGGCAAACGCATCACTTAGAACTAAGGAGCACAAAACCAGTCTGTTCTGGCACATCCCGCAGCCCCACTTGACCTGCCCACAGGGCTCTGCATATAGCTGTGAACTGTGACTTGGGAATTAGACAGTCTCCAGGTACTGTTGGGGTTGGGCACAACATGCCGGAGTTGGGCTTCTGTCCTAGGGGGCTTTGCTAAACTGATATCCCGGGGTTGCTCATCGCTCCAGTCCACAGAGCACTGAGCCGCTCAACAGAACCTTCGGCTTCCATCACTACAGCCCCATCCCCTCACCCCTCACTGCAACCTCAAATTCTGTGCCTCCTCAGCACCTTGCAATGCCCTGGAGGAACCAAACCAAGCCCAGGAAGGGGAACCAGCTCCCCAGCGCTTACCCACCTAACCTCTTTACAATTACTCAATCCCCTTTCTTCCTGCCTGGGCAACTTTTCTAAGTCAAGTGGTGGTGAAAAGGGCTTTTGGTCTACACCAGGCAGGGTAGTATTGATCCAGACACCCTGGACCCTGCATAGCTTCTAGCCCAGAGAACCCCACCCTCAATCCTCTGTGTCCACCTGGTAGGGTCTCTGCACTTTCTGGAGTCCCAGAGCTCCTCAGAGAGATGAGTTTCCCACCTGGAAACACAACTCAAACATTTATGAGCTCTCTTCTAGGGCCTCTCAGGAACACCTCCAGGGCACCTGCTGCTAAGTCTGAGCTAGAAGGCCAAGTTCTCTACCGATAGATCTCAGCATCCAGGGACAGTATTCCCTTCAGCCCCCATGACCTGTTGCTGCTAAACTTGTTTTGATCTCCAGGTGCCTGCCTCTGCGCTCCCAAGCCACCCCACCGCGCAGGCCTCCGCCAGACACCAAGGGGTATGGGGGCTGCGGTTGTTGGGGAAAGGAAGCAGTTCAAGTTTCTGATTGATACCTTCAGGGAGGTAGCTGCTTAAATGATCTCGCCACATCCTAATCATACTAGCTTAATCTGGGCAGGCAGCTCTCGGTACTCAGAGACCACCCACCCGCTGGGCGCCCTGCATCCCGTGGGGGGGGGGGGGTCTGACCTGATCAAAGTAAATGATGCGCGTCTTGTTGCTCATCTCGGATGGCTCGTGGTTTGTGCTCCGAACCGCCGAAAAGGCCACCTTAGAGTTTGCTGCTCGGACCGATATCCCTAGTGGAGAAGATGATGATCCCTTGGAGTCTGTGGCTGGGTTCGAGTCGCACACCACCAGACACTTGCCCTCCAGCACGATCGGTTCGGTGTCATTCTGTGCCCAGACAGGCAGCCCAGGCAGTGCGAAAACCAGCAGAACAGCCGGTACCACGGACAGCGCCCGGCGCGCGGAGCCCATGGTGTGCCGCGTGCGCAAGCCGCAGCCTGGCGCTTCTGCTCCGGGGCGGCGCCTGCTAGCCCGGGATCCCGGAGCTCGGGAAGATGCCAGTGGCTAGATCGACAGCGCTGCAGGAAAGGCGGCGACGGCGGCAGTGGCGCGCGCACTTCCACCAAATCTCCGGGCTGAAGTCTCCCTTGGAGCTGTCTGGTTGGTTCTGTTACCTTTGTCCTTTAAGCAGCTCATGCAGAACTCCCTACCCTAACCTCCTCCGCCCCAAAGTCAGTTTTGCCCGGGGCCCCTGAAGTCACACTTGTACATTGACATCTAAAAAGTCTCCAGACCCTCTCGATCACACCTCAAAGGAACAAAATAAATTCTCACCCCAAACCCAAGTACTTCCCGATGGAGCACAGAGCTGAAGACAGGGGACTCAGCGAGGAAACGCCAGGGTGGCAGGTGCCAAGCGATGTGGGTGACGGTCCTGTCCGAGGCACTCTGGCTGGCGAAGGAAAAATTACAGAGGCAGGAGATGTTTCCGGGGATGAGAAGAACGCCAGGTTGTGTTCATGGCCAGAATGCTAGCGACTCCCACTTGCGCTTGGTCAAAATTTCCCCAAAGCCCAGATTCACTACAACGCAGGTAGGCGGCTCAACTGAGTCCCCCGCCAAAAGCACGATATTTCCGGTTCAGTTCTAAGGTGCAGGGCGCCTACTGCCCTGGGTTCCCGTGTCCCTGCGTACAACTTTGTGTCTTGGCGCGCAGCGCAACCTCCTGGAGGGATAGCACCGAGAGGGCACCCAAGCGCTATTTATAGGAGCTCAGCGTGCAGATGGCTTTGGCTCGCTCTCTCAGCCCGTGGGTCCCCGGAAAGCAAAAACGGCGTCCTGTGACCCCAGCAGAGCAGCGCCTGTATGACGTTGAACGCACCCGGACTGAGCCTGGCGCACCGCACTGCCGGCTGCCAAGGGCCGAGGCCACTCCGCCCTGAAAACTCGTGGGGTGTGGGCAGAGGAGGAAGCCCTCGGGCCCGCACTTTCCAGGGTTCTGTGGCTGCTCGCCTCCTGCTCCACCTGTACCCGCGAAGGGGGTTGCAGGGCCCCTAGACCTGTCCAGAGTAGGACTCTCTGAGCCGAATGCAGCCGGCGCTGCCCACACAGATGCAGAGATTTCTGGAAGGGCCGTGGCGGTTCTGCGGTTCTGCGGGGCTTGCTGCCTAGACTCTAAAGCGGATCCACCGGCGTCCTCAACTGCGCCTGGTCCGGAGCTCGTCTCCAGCCTGGGGAGCTCAGGAAAGCCTTGGGGCAGCCCTGAGCCCTGGGAGAGGAGGGGTGCGGAGGAGGCGCCTGATTCCTTTCTTCCGCTCAGAAGGTTGAGCCTCAGAAGCGGCAGGGACGCGCCTTTGCACTTACACAGTGCACTCACCTCAAGCAAGGCCAGAAAAAGTCTTAGTGAACGGGGTCCCCTTAAATGTAACAGTTAAAATACAGCACCTGGGAGTACTGCCCCTCTGCCCGTGCACTCCACTGCCATTTTGGCCTCTTACTGTCAATTTATTTTCCTCTTCCGCAGCCACCAAAGGGAAGCGGGAAGCGGGGCTTGGCTCTGGAGTTGACTGCAGGAACTTGGTCAAGACACAGACCTTGATGACACACTCCCCTAAGGAATGGCCCTGGTTTTCTGGTTCTGTATTCTTTGAGGTCAGGACACTCCAAAATTCCTTCTTGACTTCTGGCTACAGGAGAGCCATTGCAACACCTACCTCTCCAATCAAAACAACATCCCCTTGGAAGGTGCAGCCACTAGGACCTGCTGATTAGTATATACTGATTGCTTATTGTTTAGCGGTTGAGCCGTGTCCTTGGGACAGAGTAAGCTTCCCAGCTGGCCATGAGCATTCTTGGAATGGTGTTCAAGCTCCTCCCCAGCAGAATCCAGACCTTCATCTTTAACCTGGTCTCCTCCTAAAGTTCTCCAGGGGAACCTGCACAGTAAACCTACGCTGAAATTCCAAGTGTTAAGATACAAGATGCCCCCACCCCCCGCCACACACACCATGGTTGATCCTTAGTCGGCTTCCTATAATGACACAAGTAAAGATGTGTGCCTGGAACCATAGTTGAGGGAGGTAGGCAGTGCCACCACTAAGTGGTAGGTGCCCTAGAGAGATGCTCTCTGTTACAATGTTGGCTGCCCTTCATCTAAGCTGTAAAGGAACAAGAGAGCTAGCCGGCCCTTTAAGGGAGGGCATCCTTTAACTTCCCACAGCTTCCCACCTGACCCTTTCAGGCTTCCTTATTTAACCACCATCACCAGCAGCTGCAGGTGCCTCCATGGGGAGTGTGTGTGTGTGTTTGTGTGTGTGTGTGTGTGTGTAGAAGCTGGAGAATGAGTTCACTCTATCCCTCTCGCCTTCCTGCTCAACCTTGAGAAGACAGGGTCAGCCACCAAGCCCCAGTGACCCTCCTGTTGCCCCCTCCCCCAGCATTGGTGTCACAAGCCTGTGCGACCATACTTGGCTTTGCATGTAGGCTCTGGGAATCTGGCAGGTCCTCATGTTGGAGCTTTTACTGACTGAACCATCTCCCCAGCGCCAGAGCTCCTTTTTGAGACCAGATACTGATGAGATTTGATTCCACTTTTCTCCTGTAGGGGAAAGACTGCCTTCCCATCCAAGCTGGAGATGGAGCAGCTAAGCCTTGGTTTTGTTGTTGTTTGTTTTTGTTTTGTTTTGTTTGTTTGTTTGTTTTTCAATTCCAGAGAAGTTTGAGAAAGAACTCTATTGACAGTGTTGGTAACTATTCAGTATTTCTCTTCCCCACAAGTCCCAACATATTCTGTATTCTGTTCTTCTCTTAGAATTTCTTTTCTAAAAGAGCTCATATTTAAACCAATGTCTTCCTTCTGTCACTGACAGTAATCTTGTAGGCCCCAAATCTAACAGGGTGACCACATTAGGGACCCAGTGGCTAACTGAACAGTGACTGAACACTTCTAAGTAGGATGTAAAGTATTGGTCATTCATCCTACAGCACAAGCTAATTGGAGTGAGGTTCCTTCGGTGAAATGTGAATTCAATCCTGAATCTTCAGTCTTGGTTCCATATTAAAAGAAGCCCTACTATTTCTGGTGACCTATCTGTATGGAGCAGAGCAATTTCCTGTGGTTGCCTGCTAAGAGAGTCACATGGCAGTGTGAGCCAGTAAGTCGTATGGTTCTAGGGGTGACAATCCATTTGATATCAGAAGTCTATTGGATATAGGGCCCAAAACAGATAGCTGAGAAGAGACCCCCCCCCCAGACTTCCTTTGTCTGGTACTAGACTGCATAGCGGAGACAGCTCTGGGGAGCTATAGCAGCCAGGTCAGAACCCCTGCAGACCAGTCCTGCAGATCCAAAGCTGCAGGATCTCCACAGCACAGGGTAACAGCAGGATGACCAAGAGGCATCCCAGTGAGGGCCCAGCATCACAGTGTAGCAGAAACCAGAGGCCTCGAACCAGACCAATGGCTCTTTGCAATGAACACTTGCAGCTTAAGATACATGAACAGAAAGGTTTACTGCGTGATTTACTGCATCACACTGCAGCTTCCATGACAAGATTAATTTTTTCTTCTCTGTTTTTTTTTCTCTTAAATTTTATTTTATTTGCAGGGGCGCATTGCAAGGGCAGGAGGCAGATACGAAGGGACAGGGAAATGAATGAGATGGAGATGCATGATGCAAAAGACACAAAGAATAAATAAAGAGAAAGGTAAGCACACACAAAAGATACTTAAAGCCATGTAGTAATTAACATAACTGCACTTACATCTTATTCATGATTAATAATTTCAGCACCTTGTGGGGAAAAAGTTGAATGCTGTAAATATTATAAACATATTAAATAAGCTTTAAAAAAAAAAAAGCATAAGCTCTACAGTTCCCAGCTTCCTATGGGAGAGAGGAGCAGCCCTCCAACCTGGGGCTTCCTGGGCTCTTCCTATATTCTGCTCCATGTCACAAGCATCCTTGCTGAAACTGGTTGTTGTTAAATGGGACAACAGAACCCAGCATGGAGTGGTGAGGTGAGGATGAAGCCCTCGTGTATTTAGCATTTAATACCTGCTGAGAGCGGCACCGGCAGTTTTCTATGAGGAGGTGACCTGCAATAGATGGGCCCTACTCCAGAGCAGGTCCCACACCCCAGAGTATTTGAGAAACACAAATTAGACTTAATGAGTTCCTGGCGAGTTTTTAAATTTTAATTAGACATAGAATACATAGTTCTATCTTTATTCCTCGTCTATTTTATTCTACTCTATCTATGGATGCATAGAGAAGTGGGGTTGGATCTGGGAGAAGCTGAGGGCGAATATTTTCAAAGTACATTGTATGAACTTCTCAAAATATAATAAAATAGTTTAAAGTGTGGTCTGTGTATGGCTTGAATGCTTCCCTTTCCTGAGATTCCCAGATTATATTTGGTTAGTTGGTGCCTTTTTTTGCCAGGCTTTTGGAGGTGGGGTGGAAATGCATCCTGCTATTCCGCATCTCTGTAGTTGAGCTCAACTTCTCACCTTTAAAGCAAATGAAAATGAGAACTGATCTTGCATGAAAATGGTACTCTGGCAGCCGGTCCATCCCCAGGGACTGCTTGTCTGGCCATCTCCTGAGAAAATGGAGTGTTAAGAAAGCCAAGACAGACAAGATCCAGGAGTGAGTTTCTGCTGCGGAAGATGGTGTCTGTGAGAAGACAGGCAGGCAGGCAGGGTGTTCAGCTCTGAAGGACTCGCCTGGACCTGAGTGAAGGAAATCTCTGAGCACCAGGTATTAACCGCCTCGGGCCAGTCGTGCAGCGGTGGACAGTCGAGAGCATGTGAGTAAGGGGTTCGCATCACAGCCGACAGCTCCACCGAATCATTTAATTACCCTTCCTCTACAACGATAGCTATCTGACCAAGAGGATCCCCCCCTCCTGCCTGAGCGAAAGTAAATGGATTAAGTGGAGCAAAGTCTTGAGAAGAAAGAAAAGTGCAAG